GATTTGTTATTCTTAAGCGAAATTGATAAAATTATTAGTTTTTTGCATTACATTAAGAAACAATTTGATCACATGTCCTTAATCAGATAATTATGTTACCAGGGGACCTATTTTAAGTTCTCGCTTGATCCGCTTCTGACTACAATGAAAGTAAGAGAATACACTCAGTACTCGAAGCCTACTAAGTATCAGTTTGATCTATTCCTAACTCAGCCTTGACAGTTATATTCTCAATTTATCCACAGATGAAAAAAATTCATGAAATTTATTCTCAATTTCGGAAAATAACTCCTTTTCTTACTTATAATCCAACCTGATTTCAATCAATTCAGTTTCCTGATATAAAATAGAATCAATAAATACTCTAGACAACATAAAGCTTAAAAAAAATTCTTATTAGGATACTACCGTGCGTAGAAACTTCTGTTGCAGATGAGTTTTTATTTTATGATATTTTAATTTAAGTTTTAATCACAGTTCAATTTTTATCATTTTCTTCACAAGTGATCTTCTATTGAAAGATTGTATTTCAATGCGCCTCTGTCCTTAGGCAAATAGTACTTGTATGCTTATGCTTTGCCAAAATCTGGTATAATCCTAATTCCAGCCAATCCTGAGATGAAAAAAATCTACTACATTTATTATTAATTGAACTCGATCTTACAGCAGCCCTTTATTTCATTTATAAATCAGTATACGTTTTTATATTTCTATTATATCATTAAAAGTAAGTATAGGTAATGTACAAGTAAAGCATTTTACCCTATCAGGATACTATCGTACACAAAATTACACTACATAGCTGTTCTGTGTTTAGTTTTTATTTCACGCTTATTTTTATTTAAGTTTTTAATCATATTTTGTACATTTCCAAAAAAAGGCCGGAAAAACTTAAGCTATAAATATTAATTTTACACAGTTTTTTTCCTTTAAAATACCTTCGTTTAATTTCGCCTTTTTTTAGTGTTAAAATACCTAGTACAAGAGTAGTTCCTTAAATAATCCAAGAGTTAGAAGGCTTGCATCTTAGAAGGAAGAACTGCGTTAGGTACAGCTTAAAAAGGCCACATTCATCAAACTTAGACGAGCTTCAAAATGTACCCCATTTTGTAAAATTCAAATAGATTGTGAACTACGGTAAAATACTATTAAAACTATTAAATTTGATTCTTGGGATAGATCAAACGTAAAAATCCCGAGATATGTCAATACCAGTCGTATGATTGTATTGGTAAAAATTTTGAAATCCACAAACTTAGAAATTTGAATTTCTGTCTTATACTGGCAGTTAACTCTTATATGCTTTGACCAATTATACCCTAGGGCTTAGCACAAAAACACGAAGGATACAAAAATTAAGTTTTAGGTTAATTGAAATGTAGAATCCCACTTTCGCTGTTGGATGAAAAACTAATTACACTCTGAAAATATACAGGAAAGAAAAATTAAGTTCGTCCCATTACACCTAGAAAGAGAAACGTTCAGGACTGTAGCAGATCGAAGCAGGCATCGCCTGGCTTCGATCTGCTACAGTCCTGGTTAACAAGGAACTGAAGTAATTACACGCATTAAATGCAGTGGATTTTCATGTCAAATATGTATACATGATTCAAACAGATAATAACTTGAAACTGCAGATAAATTAAAAATACGACGCAACGATAAACTTAAACAAAAATCTTAATTAAATATGGTGATTTAGATTAAATAGGCACAAAAGGTAACAGTAATGCATGATGCATAACTTCAGAAATATGAGAAAATAAATTCAGAATAATGGCAAATGTACACAAATAGATAAATTTCACCACTTAGGATTGTGATTGTTGAATCCGTCTTGGATCTTCTGTAAGGTTTTCAATTGTAGTTCCACTAGTTCAGCAATTACGTAAAATTCAGAATTCATATCTTTATGAAAAAGGTATGTGATGTAGTCAGGATGTAATCGTAACTGTTCATCACTTAAACCTTTGCATTCGAGGCATTTTTCTTTCGAGACCAGAGAGCAGCTTGAGATGATTTTCTGCATGTTTGGTAAATTTTTTACACCTAACTTAAAATGATTTCACACATAATTTGAATAAATCTAATGGCTCTTTTATGCCTGAAGTTACTTACGCTCCCGAATATCTTTTTTCGGATACAAGCGGTATTTTTTGTGGCATTTCTTCGGATTCTGTGCACGTTATCCATTCTGAATTTTCTGTCTCTTCTATGGAATCACTGTCGCTTTCACATTCAATATCTGTTAGCCTGATTTTTTGCCGTCATCCACCTCGTATCAACCTTCATCCACCATCATTACTTCACCTTTTGCTTCATCGCTATCTTCATCTCTGCTTTTTTCTTCTTTAGCTTTAAGTATATGTCTATTCATAGACGTAATTTAATTCTTCGTCAGTGAACAATCGAATTCATCTTTATTTGAACGGATTCCTTTATCGTATTCCTTGCTTACTGGGTTCAGTAAGTTTGAAAATAATATTCCTATTGCACAACTGTTGAGTTTGAACTAACATCGAATACGTATATATAGCAATAAATCTAAAAAACATATTTAAGATTAAAGGTTGGTAGTTATTTCATACACATGTATTGCTGAATATAACATGAAGCGATACTGGCCGAACCAAACCTAAATAAGCATTTGTGACAACTCGAATTATAGCGTCACACCGAGTGGTGATCGAGAGTCACCTCTGGAGTGCAAAGGGTTAATCTTCGTGATCGCACAAAGCACGGGCATTCACAATGCTCCTTAGAATTTTATTTGACCGAACATCAGTTTTTCCTTTTTGTGATTTGAGTACAGTAGCCCAAGTTGGAACTGCGTCCAAAAGGACTAGTGTAAATAACGTAAAAAATACAGTCCTTTCCACACGTATGCTTAGATTACAATTTCTCAAAATTAAGCAGAAAATCGACATGGATGCAGTATTTGCTTTTTACAAAGCATTTTTCACATTTTCCTTGAATACGAAAAAGCACGTGAAGCTTATTCAAGAATAGCTCCTAGTCTACTATCAGGGATAGCTCCTAGGTACTATTTAGTAGAATTTGAAACAGGAGAAAGTTCTCCGTTTACACAACTATCTGTGTTCACAGAATAGTTTCTTTTATACCTACGAGAAAGTACAACATAGCACTTAGAAGCATTAAGCAACTTTTCATAAAGTTCGTAACTGTTCATCACTTAAACCTTTGCATTCGAGTTAGTTAATTACTAATAGTTAATTAATAGTTAATTTAGTTTAGTTTCTTTAATGTTTACAAAAAAGCAGAACGCAACACTTGGAAGCATTAAGTATCTCAGAAACGTCTTTCATAATTTGCATTTATGAACAATTTTAATATGATCCTGTAATTTTTTTGAAAGCGGATTGGGGATTTAACAATTTTACAATAACAGCAATGTCATCAGCATATTTATCGACTGTATTATTTAACGGCATCTTTAGTATAGTGAAAGAATGCGATTTAAATTAACTTAATTTTGCTAAGTATTCGTGCATCGTCCTATACGATTTACTCAAAATCACTTGCATTTTGAACTTTTTAAAATAAAAATCGTATGAAAATTAAAGTACGAAATTCGACCTTTATTAAAGTTCATATGTGCGAAATTTTTAGCTGGAATTTTCAGGAATTGAGTTTACAACTTAATCCTTAAATAATTAATTTATTAATTAAAAATTAAATCTTGGTTTGAAATAATTGCACATTAAGAGAATTTCTTCAGAGTGAACCAAAGCATTAACATGCTTGCTGCTAAATAGGGAATTCATCGAAATAGCAAACCGAGTGCCAAAAGAGATACGACTAGAAACTGCTACAGTACGACTAAATAACTTTTTTTAAGTTAATGACGATGGATTAAACAACCTTGTGTGCCGATAATTACGATTCACATTTCTTTACTGGCCGTGTTCTATAAAATACATTCTGTCGAATTAGATACTTTAAAAGTTATGTAAATTATCACTTTTTCTCCTTCAGGCTTAGAATTTCACCCCCAGTTTATGGGATTGATTTGAAAGAAATAAAGTAAAAGTCAGAGTATAAAAAGTTATTTTCCCTTTTTTATTCTAACTTAATGTATCTTTACACAAATTTATTTATAACTAATACAACATGTATTAGTTATAAATAACAACAATTCAAATGTATGTCATCAATTTCAGTACAAAACATTCAAATTATTTTAAATTGTATTGTATCAAACGGCATTGTGAAAATTGAAAATTTGTCTTTGATTACAATTTCAATCTTCTTTCGAATAGCATTTCTTAATTGCTTTGCTTTAGTTTATTACAGCAAACCACGCTAGGAATTATCTGCCTAAAGGGAGGGATGCCTTCGTAGAGAACATTGAAATTGGCTCGTATATACGTTATGCATGTGGAAAACCACGAAAACGCCCATGCAGCCAGCCCGTTCGCCTGGATTCGAAACCCAGAGCATTTCTTGATAATTTCAAATAGAAAGAGACACTTCTATTAACCTTCAAACAGTTATATTCTGTGCGTCGTCTGAAAAATTAGACTTGCATTTCTATACATTGTTTTCTTTATATTTCACGAGCATATATTGTAAATAAAAATTTAGATTCCGATGTCAGTATTTTATATTTTGAAATTTTTTTATGGTAACTACTGTCCATCAGTCGTAAATAAATTTCTAGAAAGATACAAGAGTGCATCAACAGTTCATGACTTTATCAACGACTACTGCATACAACCTAGAGCCTTATAGATTTTACTTCACAGGAAATTTATTTATTCTGTTAGCAAAGGCCTTACAATGGTAAATCATAAATCTTGGCCAAACTGAAATGTAATATTAAAGACACTGTATCACGGACAAACATAGGCAAGTTTCAAATGTACCGTAAGAGATATGAAGAATTACATTTTTTTAATAAGAAAGCTTTCAGTAACGATTTGAAGAAATAAAAATGCAAAAATAATGAAAGAAAAAGAAAAGAAAGGAGGAAATCTTACGCCCGAACTGCAGGAACATCACCTCTTTCAGAGCAAAGCAGAAATTTCTTTTCGAACACAGTTAACTGGCATTCCCGTTGATCATTGTCTAGGGACGTAATTTCATCTGATACTGCTGTTTGTCCTGGTGTGCGAAGGAACTTCTTTGAAATTGAACCAGTAGAGTTCCGGTCCGTTTTCTCTTCTGCAAATGTAAGCAGAAATTATCAGTACGTTTTTTTTTACGTTATTAGTATGGTTTTATACATTATGTTATGTTATGTTATGTAGAAGTGAGAGGGCCACCTAATATTTACCCTAAGTAAGCAGGTATTAGCCCCACACACTAACTAGAAAACTAACAACATTCTGCCATCATTCCTCGAGTCGTGATGGAAATTGTGACTCCAGTGACCACTACAAATACTGCCACCGGCGGCGGCATCAACGGTACTCCTAACCTTTCAGCGTTAAATTAGCTCAAGTAAGGGATTAAATTACATGATATACATTTCGATATACATAGTGTGCAGGTGCATATTTCAAGATGTTATCTATTGTAGTGGGTACAGGCAACATATTTCAGGACATTATATATTGCATTAGAAACAGGCATGTTGTTCCCACGTTACAAATCATTTTTGTAAACAGGATCTGTTTACTATCAGAATTAATTAAGAACTATAAAACTGTTTACAGAGCTTATATATAAGTACTGTTGTAAAGTTGTGCTGAAACTTTAACAGCTCAATTTTGACGATTCATTATTTGTTTTAACGTACGTTTTTATATGTTAATTGATTTTCAGAAATTATATTATTGTCTAGTACATTGTTATTTGCATGTAAAAATTGATCACGACATTATAAACTGTGGTGGCTAGAAGTAACTTATTTCTAGTGTATAGATCATGCCAACAATCATGACTTGTTTACATAATTTTATTTTTACGAACAGCTGTCAAAATTTGAGAAGAATATAAAGTAGTAAAAAAGACATAAATATATCTGAAGACGAAAGAAAAAAAAAAGAGCTTCATCTGCATACTTATGCGTACTACGTACTTTTAGATATATCTGCATACATATGCTGATACATTGCCAACTTATATTTATCAGTTCATTGTATGCAAGTACATGTGTTTTTACAATAATTAATTTACACGAATTACATCCTATGATACACTACATTGTTGATACTTTACCAACTCAATGCTGTCTATTTATTATATGTGTTCACTTATCAGGTAATTGGTGATCTTATGTTACATAGAAATGTAGGGGTCATCTATTACCATTTACCTGAAGTAAACAGATAGGAGCCCCTTACCCTACTTGTGAGTGACCTATTTTGTGCTTCATATGGTTTGCGATGCTTATTTCTTCCTCTAAAGGTACGCCCGCGTACATTATATCTGCATTTAATTGCTTTATTTTGCTATGGTTGGAGCATTTCTTTGAAGGTTAAATTACGCTACATAGCTCTTCACTTCTAGCTGCCAAAAAGTCAATAACCTTCGTAATTTTATTCATCAAATGTTTATTCTTGACAGCATATCTTAGAAATGGGAATAAATCCTCTTCTGAATTTGGCTTCTTTAGATGAAGGGAATCTGTCAACGGGCAGGAAAATAGATAATGCTCGGGGTGACCCTTTTCACCACATTGCACAGGAATCTGATAAAGAGAGATTTCTTGCATAGAAGTACGTGGGAAAGGAACCATGCCCCGTGATAAACCACGTGATGTGTCTGGAGAGATGGATTGGAGGAGAGTCAACTTTGGGGAAGAGGTTGTAAACTCTTCTGCCTGTATTTGCACCGTCCCACCATTGTTGCCATAAGTCTTTAGCTGTGATCTGCAGTTTTAGTTTGAGGTGAGAAGCTGGCCAGGGGATGCTTATTTTCTTGGCAGGTTTTATACGTATAGTTTTGTGCCAGTTTGAACATACTACAGAACAAAAATTAAGTTCTTATGAAATGCATTAAGCTCATGAAGTAGTTCAAACTGCGCATTGCTATAATATCGAAAACTTTAACATTTATACAATGGCTTATTTTCAATGAAATGTCTCTGCTTTATTAAAATGTTCTTCATATTTGGCATTTCGCTTTCATTTTTGGGACAAAATGAAGTGTTCTTTTTATGAATATCTTATACTTGACATTTCAAGTGTCATATCAGTCATTAAATTTAGGGAAAGGATACTTTCATATGGAATATTTTAAGTAAAACTGGTTAGGCAAAAGCTTTAAAATGCATTAGTGCGCTCGCCGATATTTAAAATGACGTCGAAATACTAGTGTTTGCCCTCTTTATACAATAGGCAACACATAAAATACTCGTATTTGATCAAATTTGAGCATTTTGTTTTAACTCAGAGTTTACTAAAGCATAGGTAATTTGAAACAGCGCTCTCTGGTGTTCATTTTTCAAAATGATGAGCAACGGAATTACTTTTCAGAGCCGTTTTTAATAAATTTTCGCATATCGGAGCTAAAATTTGTAGATGTAACGGAATACATTATACAGTCTTTTCTTTTTTCTGTTTTGACATTTTTCATAGATTAATATCTAAATTAGAACAAAAGAAAAGGCAGTTGATTGCATCTGATAAAGCAAGGCCAAACAGTCCTTTGCAATATTTATTTCTCTCTTTAGAGCCCTCGAGCAATGGAGATTTAGAAAATATGTTTGTTTTATTTGAATACAGCAAAATGTACAAGAAGAAAAACAGAGGGAAGAGAGGGTAAAAGATGCTTAAGTGAAGGATAGTCTTGGTGGAATATTTTCCAGGGAAAACTGCACCGTATTTACTAGGAAACAAAAAATATGTATGCAACCAACCCGTTCACCAGAATTTAAACCTACGTTGAACTACTAGTGTTCAGCGGTCTTATCCACTTGCTTTTCTGTTGGACCTGATTTCAGGTGTATTGTAAATTCTTCTCTAATAAGAGTAGCGGCAGTATTTTTTTTTTATTTTATTTAATCATTGAAGTTAAGCTTAAAGTATTTTTGTGCTTCTACATGCATTTCAAAAAAAGATCGACTTGAATTTATCATTCGGACTTCCCCTCCCCGGACTGTCAACGGCCAGGTCTTTCAATGGGGTAAAATGTTTCCTTCTGTTCAAGAAAAATTTGGCCATGCGTCTCACCTGCAGTCAACGGTTTAAAGTGTTACTTTTTTTTTTTTTCTAGAACAATTTGGGCATGCATATTGCTAAATTTTCCAAGTAGTTCTGATCCCGTTTCGTAAGTTAAAGAACGCGTGATCATACTACACGCGTAACGATGCACACTTGCTAATGCGTTTTGATTCTCATGCCCAGTTACGACTTATTAAGTAAAAATGACAGCATAACAGTATCATGTGTATATTGACATGGCCTGGTATGAAAGAAATGTTTGGAATAAAATATGTCAAGAGGTGTTGAAAAGAAAACTCAGCACACTCAGCCCTAGGAAATGTTTATCCAAGCTCTGTTCTGTAAAATAGCCCAAGAATAGAAGAAAAATTTCATTTTGTTTATACCACAACGTTAAACAGTTTTCATCAAGACCAGAGGTGGCTTCACCAAATATTGATTACACGACATATAGTTACAAAACAGAATTTTCACTTTTCTTCTCCGTCTGTTGCTAATTTCTTCTGTTTATGTGTCTCTCATGTATACACAAGCTGTATTAACAGTGTTTTTAATTTATTCATACAATAAACGTATACAATTTAAGGATAAAAAAAATGTTACATGCTTGTTTCTTTTCCAGTTATTTATAGCAGTTCACTGGGGCTTTAAGCAGCTTAGTTACTTTGCATGAAAAACACCGAACGAAGCATGGGATGCAATGTTGTTGCTCCGTATGTTATCATTGTACATGCATTAAATTACAGCTAATATGCAGTGTAAGAGTTAATCGAAAAATAATATTAAAAAATAATTAAAGAATATTATGTGACTTTCTAGTTCAAAATGAAAGAAATATTTCGAATTTTACAAGGTCTAAACTGTATCCGAAGTATCATAAAAAATGTATGTATGAAATATATGTATGTATAAATATTAATATGAAAATAAGAATGATGAATTTTTACAGGAAGAGCAGATGCTGATAATCTCAAAGCGAGAGAATTTGTTAAAACTTGAGAAAATAGTGATCGTTGCAGTGATACAACATCAATAAAAATTTCTTTCATAATATTTGTCCTGGAGAGAAAGAATAAAATATTCTTCGGGAAAAAATATCAAATATATAGACTTCTCCAAGTAAATTTGCTTCATCTTCTGTTTACTATGCTCTACTATAATTTTAGTTTGTACACATAAGCTTTCAATTCTTTTAAAATCATCTCTTCTCAAGTATGTATGTCATCAATTGTATGCATCATCTTTGGACCATTCCTTGCAGCATATAATTTTATTTATAATCTGCAAACAAACCTTTCTCTGAAAATATTATTTTTTAAATGTATTGGATATTTTATAGTTCTCCGATTTTCCCTTTCTACTACCACTGAGATATATGTTCTCACATATCTAATTCTTGAATAAGAATGCATAGAGGGGATGTAATTTATGTAGCGTGTGAATCATTTTCCCACAGACATATTCTATTATTCTAACCGGTTGCCACTGAAATAAGTTAAATACTAATCAAAGAATGTTAACTAAAGAATGCGTACTTCTAATTTTGTCTGTGTTTAAAGAAATCTATGCCAGACGGATAGTTTTTTAATTACAGGCTATTTGCTTAACATGAAAGATAATGGATTTCATAAAGGAAAACTACTTGTGGCGAACGATGGCACTGGCACAATTCGTGGGTAGTCAAACAGCCGTGAATTCCTAGTGCCCTTTAAATGGATTGTTGTTTTCATAGTATGAAGTTGTAACTTGAAAGGATAAGTCTTAACCGCACCCAAGTCAAAGAACTTATTAATTATTATAGACTATAATAAATTTGTAATTTTTCACGTTTTAGTAGGAGTTAGAAAATGTTATTATTTATAGGCCAAAGTAAAATTACAGTTAAAATAAATAACAAAAGAATGAAAAGTGTCTTGTTTGTATACTATACATGAACATATATACATATATACTTATATAATTGAAAAAGAAAATGTAAAGCTAACCTGTAATTAGACGTAAGACCTATCTGGTCTCAAAAACTTTTGCGCATAATGCTGCAAAAAGATTTGAAAG